TGTAAAGTATAACTAGTACATTTACTCAACTACTGTACTTAACAACACTTTTGAGATACTTTCCATGTTATGTTACTTTGTACTTCTACTTCACAGTTCAGAGGTAAATGGTGTACTTTTCCTCCACTACATGTATTTATTACCTTTAGTTACTTCACAGATGTGGATGAATGATGTGAAATATAATCAAGTGTTGAATCAGACTTTAGTTCCACCTGGAGTAAATCCACAAGCTACCCTGCAGTATACAAAGTTATTCAAACTAGCTGCACCTTTACCAGCTTTGAGAACACTTTCATGATCAATCATTATAAAACATATATAATATATAATATGTTCCCTCTGGAACTCACTCCCACAACCCATCAGAGACTGCACTGACCTCACCACCTTCAGAAAACTCACCTCTTCAATCTGGCTTTTAATGTGTGATTGTTTTTGTATTGCTTGATTTTAATTTTACTTTAACTATATTTATTTGTTGTTCTTTTCTTTTCACTATCTTTGTAAAGCGACTTTGAGCACCTGTAAAAGTGCTAACAAAATAAATCTATTATTATTATTATTATTATTATTATTATTATATATATATATTATTCTGAAATGGACCAATCTGCACAATCACTACTTTTACTTTTGGTACTTTCACTATATTTTGATGATAATGCTTTTCTAATTTTACCTGAGGAACATTTTGAATGCAGGATTTTTACTGTAACAGAGTATTCCTACACTCTGGTACTTCTACTTTTATTTAAGATCAAGGTCCAATAAATAAATAAAGTTTTCAAAAAAAAGAACAAGATCTAAGTACTTCTCCCACCTCTGGGTAAGAACACAGTTGCAGAGGTTGAAAAAGTACTCAGGTCATGTACTTGAGTTAAAGTAGAAGTACCAGAGTGTAGGAATACTTTGTAGCGTTCTATGCTGACTATTTACAAATGTTTCTATTTTAGGCTATTCCCTCTAAATGCGTCATTTCTTACCGTTCCAGCTCTCAGACCCACATTTTTATTATTAAGTAATAATATACATTATTATGTTTATAGTGTTTTACTCACCGTTCAAACAGTCTGCAATCTGGATAATAAAACAGTAGTAATAATAATAGTGTACATGCAATATCTATCATTGCGTATAGCTACATTTAAAAGTGCAAACACTTACCTGCTGTGTGTGTGTGAGTGTGTGTGCAGCTGGTTTTATTCAATCACAGATTTCATTTGATACAGAACACTTTGCATGTCTGGTTATTTGACTAAAGGCTCACTTTTCCTAACGACACATTATGAAACCTCTTGGGAAGCATTAAACAAAACACAATGAATAACTCATTCAAATCAGATCACGGAAACACTGTTCCTGCCATGTTCACGCTGCTGTCAGATTCTGGGCTTCAACTCATCAACATGATGCTGCCATTAGTTTGTGGTCTTCTCTCAGGTTCAAACTTGCAGACAAAGATAATGTGCAGGTGATTGTGATGCATGTATAAAGTATATGGAATACTTTTTCCATCAGACATTTGAGTTAAACGTTAAGCTTCATCATCTAGTATGCACAATATATACCAAAGCAAATTCCGCATATGTAAATATACTTGGGAATAAAACCAATTCTGATTCAGATCTGTGCATTAGGTGATGATAATCTCATACAATGTATCAACATCTGCTGTTAAATGAATAACACATTTTATAAGATTTATACTTTATTTCCCCCCTCTTTAGCATTATTTAGAAAACAGCTAAATGTTATGAATAATACTTGATCAGTAATGTTAAAGTGTTTAGGATCGGTTCTTCCGGTTACGGGGGCCACGTAAGAAGACGAGACACACACAGCTCTGCTTAAAGTAACGGCCCGTCCACACAGCGGCGTGCGTTGAAGCTTGCCGGCGGGCGTGTCTGAAACTCGACCAACAACCAATCCCATGAATCTCCCGCCCCCGACATACAGTTTACGAAGTAAGACTGCCATCGCTCGAGTACAGAAAAGGAGAGTATTCAAGATAATGAAAGGATTTGATAGAGAAGGAAAGTGAACGAGGGGGCATGAACTGAAATTGTTCAAACAAAGAGGCAGAACAGAGCTGCGACGGAATGTAATAAGCCAGCGTGTAATGGCCCGTCCACATGGCGGCGTGCGTTGAAGCTTCAACGCTTCTGCCCATTCACTTTGAATGGGGTGACGTCACGCTTCGCCGAACTGCATTGCGGGAGCGTCGCTACGCGTTGCTCGCTGCAAAAGTTGAGCAATGTTCAACTTTTGAAGCTTCGACAGAAGCCTCAGCCAATCAAATCATATGCCAGTACAAGCTCTATCCAATCAAACCGCGTGCCCTTGTGTCCGGGGCGGGAGATTCATGTGATTGGTTGTTGGTCGAGTTTCAGATACGCCCACCTGCAAGCTTCAACACACGCCGCCGTGTGGACGCTGCGTAACACAGGACTGCAGCAATTTCCTTCAAATCTATAAATAGCGCTACAGATGACCATGACTGAATATTAACTCGATTAGAATTCATTTCAGAGATAGGAACAACTCACAGGCTATGCCTATATACGGTGACTGCGCTGAGTGAGTCTCGCGAGTAGAGTTTCGGATAGCAAACGCTGTGCACGTGGCTAGCTATCAAGCTAAGGTACACAAAAGTTAAAAGCAAAACCCTGGAAACCAGATCACGAATTAACAACCGAAGACTGTAGTGAATCTTCCGGAGGGGGCTGAGCGACGGGACCCGTGTGCATTTTTGGAAAAATTGATTCCGGAGGTGCTGAAGGAAAGACACTGCAATCCCCCCCCCCCCGAGTCATAGAACGGACGCACCGCATCAGACCGGTGAGGGACGCCGAGCAGCCATTGACATTGATATTGAAGTTTCTCAACCACAAGGACCAGCAGGCCATTACTGCGGCTACACGAGCTGCAGTGGACATTCAGTACAAGGACCATGTGAGACTGACCGTTGAGCGGCCCGACCAAGCAAGGAGGCAGAGAGTTCAAATATAACCCGGTGTGGGAATTTATTACTCCTTGTGGTACATGACACAGCCTCAATCTTACTGTCTCATGTGAACACAGTCACCAGCAACAAGGATCTCCCACACACAACAGG